ATCTGCTGAACGAGTGTGTGTGTGTGTGTGTGTGTGTGTTTGTGTGTGTGTGTGTGTGTGTGTGTGTGTGTGTGTGTGTGTGTGTGTGTGTGTGTGACGGTCTCCTGCTCTCCCACAGTGTTCAGCACGCCACACTCTCTGTCCGGCTGTCAGCTGACCGCACACACACAGAGCAGGATTCAGCCAATCAGAGGCGTTGATGGATCGTCATGCTATCAGTCAGGTGTGTGTGTGTGTGTGTGTGTGTGTGTGTGTGGAGCTGATGGTCAGGTGACAGGGCCGGCCCTGTACATTTGGGGCCCTGCCTTGCTCTATATAGTGGCGTATCGACAGTGCAAACGGGCCCACAGTGGTTATATGACTTATTAAATACACCCAGTGAATCGGGAAGGTGAAGCCGGATCTCCTACACTCAACATCTGTCTGAATAGTTTGGACGTTGTACAGCAGCACTGTTTCCGTCAACTAGTGTAACGGAGGCCAGCGAGTGTGTGCTCTGCAGGTAAAGCTCAATCCTCTGCAGACAGACACTACAGGTCATGGTCTTAAGCCTCCTTGGTCGAGCACCCGACTCCCATGCGGAAGGTCGCCGGTTCAATACCAGCTCGGAGCGGGTTGGGTGGCGTAGGACCGGCGGGGTTACACATGCAGTGTAAAAATGAAGATTTAAACGGTCTGTGATAAAGGGAGCATTGATGTCTACTCTGCCTTCTGGAGTGTTTAATACAGATTCTGTTAATTCAGCGAACACTGAAGACTCCAGTCAAGATTCCAGGCTGAGTGTTTATTTGAATAAATTCCAAAAGCAAAAGCCCTGCAGTGAAGGACACTGAACAATAATCAGCCAGCAGTGAACATGCAGTCCTCATACAGTCATAATACACAAACATTCTGAACTCAGGAAAACAACGAACATTAAAGCAAACACTGACCCATAAACAATCACACCAAGAGATCTACAGTCAACATGACACACACATTTAGATAAAACACTGAGAAAAGAGAAGCAGCAGATACTGTGCTGATGTAGAAACACAAACACAAACTCTATTATCCCCTTCAGTCCTCATCCCTGTTAAACACGCCTCAGGAGACAATATTAGCAGGACATGTCCGTGACAGACGCTTCAGCACTGCAGTTCAGTTTCATGTGTTTTAGGTTAAAAACCGTGTCTGTAAAGCAGGAAGAATACATGTGTCATAAGCAGACGACCATTATTAATCTGGAGTTCCTGTTTTCATTAAATGTGCAGCTAGAATATGTCTTTAACACAGTGGCGTAGCGCAAAATGCGGAGGCCCCCCTGCAGGGATCACTGACGGGGCGGCGGGGTGGAGCGACAACGCGGGGAAGCCCTCACAAACTGAGGAGTGGGAAAGGGGGCATTCATTTTTAACGAGAACCCGGCGGCGAGGAACAGCGCGGCGCGTCTTCTCCTGTGTGTGCGTCGAGGAGAGTTGAAATCAAGTCAACTTTATGGTATGAGCTGTGACGCGGTTCAGCGATCAGAATGAAGTAGTCCACCGCATGAGAGGAGTTCAGAGAACACAGACCTGTGAACTTTGGTTCCGACCACAGCTGTTCCCAAGAGTTTGATTATTTCGGTTGACAGATTTACAATTATTGAAAATCGCGATGACGTGGAGCCCCCTAATCACGCGGGGCCCCCCGCGGTGCGTGCCCTGCTGGCCCGTCCGCTACGACACTGCTTTGACATCATCATTAGCTGAACATATGCTCGTCTCTCCTCCTCGTCTTTTCCCCCTCAGTATTTCTACAGCTGAAGAACACCTGTCACCATCACCAGCGATCTACAACCAGAGATCGCCGCTAAACACACTCACATGAACTACTAACCCACCATGTTATGGACTACAACACCCAGTCATGCACCAGCCATCAACACACACACACACACACACACACACTGCTGCGGAGTCTTGTTAGCTGTGTAGTGAGCATTAGCTCGTGGTTTCCCTAGTTCGGGTTTCTGTGTTAGATCTTGCCTTGTTTTGTTTTGATCATGCCTGCTAATACCTCTCCGCCTCTGCATTGCCCATGCACATCTGTTTGTTCCTGTTTTGACCACTGCTGGTTCGACCATCCTATCAATAAAGACCTGCATAAGGATCCTCACTCCCCGTCCATCACTGTTACAGTCAAGTTCACCCTCAGCTGATGAGTGATGATAAAGCGTGTTCGGCATGCTGTCCCGGGAGAGAGCCCTGAGCTCAGAAGATCCTCAAACCCAAGGCTCCCTCCGGTTTGCAAGGCGAGAGGGGAGTTTGAGCTGTGGTAGATGTGGAGAACTCCCCTGCTATAGTAGCTGATGAACAGATAGTGATCGCTCTTAACAGATAACTACTGACTAGCAGCATGTCTATGTGCTGATGTGGATTAGTCAATGAACTTCAGCTGCATGTTTCTGGACGGTGGGAGGAAACCGGGGAACCCGGGGGAAACACACGTGAGCACAGGGAGAACGTGTAAACTCCACACAGAAACGTCGGCTGGCTTGGTAAGGACTAGAACCAGTGACGTTCTTGCTGTGAGGCAACAGTGCTAACCACTGGGCCACCGTGCCACCCATCTAGTAAAGGAGGAGGAGTAGGGGAGGAAGGGGGGACTCTTCAAAACCAAGATGGCTGTGATATGGAGCTGAGGGTGTTTATAGTGGTCTAGGACTCGTCTGATTGGTGAATCGTGAATTGGCGAATGCAGGACCGGCTGTGTTCAATCATAAGCACGTGATCCTCTCCACATTAGTGTATAAATAACCTTCACATAGTGTTAGATTGGTTTCATTTTCACGGTGCAATATCCAAAATAAATCCTTTATAAACTGTATAATGTACGATAATGAAGCAAAGGCTGTGTCCGCGCACACGGATTCGTGTTCTTGTGGTCCCGGTCGGTTCATAGTGATGCTCTTTGCTGGAATCGTGAGAACACATATGAGAAATGAGACGCTGTGACTGCGAGCTTCCTGTTGATCACATGACCTTCACACGAAAACTTTAGTAAAATGAGGAACATTATTTTCTTTCAGTGAAAATGTTAAATGTTTCAGCGCTGCAGCTCTGCCAGTGACGATCAGTGTTTAATACAGAGAACAACCATTCCAGCAAGGAAACGGCTCACACCACCAGCAGGTTGTGGGGCCCCCTAGTGGCAGCGGGGCCCTAAGCAGCTGCTTAGTTGACTTGTAGGGAGGGCCGGCACTGTCAGGTGATGATGTGTGATGTCGACAGGTGTTGATGTGATCGAGGAGCACCTGAGAGAGATTCGGTCTCTACGGCAACGGCTGGAGGATTCCATCAGGACCAATGAGAGGCTGAGACAGCAGCTGGAGGCGCGGCTAACCCCTGCGGCCAGAGACACGGGTGTGTGTGTGTGTGTGTGTGTGTGTGAGAGGCTTTATATTTCAAAACAATGACACTCATTCTCACTGTTGTGTGTGTGTGTGTGTGTGTGTGTGTGTGTGTGTGTGTGTGTGTGTGTGTGTGTGTCTGTGTGTGTATGACAGTGGCTCCAACCAACATCTTTATCCAGAGTCCTGATGCTGTGAGTCGCCTGAGCACTGAAGTCAGAACACTGAAGGAGGAACAGCTGGAGCTGCAGGCCAGACTACGAGCCAGCAGAGGTACACACACACACACACACACACACACGCTCACGCACGCACGCACGCTGTTTGGTGTGTGTTTGGAGTGTGGGTGTTTGGTGTGTGTGTGTTTGGAGTGTGGGTGTTTGGTGTGTGTGTGTGTGTTTGTTTGGAGTGTGGGTGTTTGGTGTGTGTGTGTTTGGAGTGTGGGTGTTTGGTGTGTGTGTGTGTGTTTGTTTGGAGTGTGGGTGTTTGGTGTGTGTGTGTGTGTTTGGTCTATGTGTGTTGGATCCTGTTGGTTAGTAGTCTGTAGTAAGTGTGTTCTGCTGTTTGTGCGCTGCAGACAGCTGTGAGGAGGCGGAGCAGCTTCGGGAGGCGGTGCTTTCTGGGCGTGTCCGTCTGCAGCAGGCGGAGCTAGAGGCGGAGCAATGGAAGGAGGAGCTGAGGAGGCTGCAAACGCACAACTTTGAGCAGAGCCAACAAATACAACAAATGCGGCAGGACAGACACAACAACCAGGAGGACAACAGCAGGTTTCCCACACACACACACACACACACACACACACAAGCAGCTGTTTGAGTGGACTCCGGCTCTCATATCTGTGTGTGTGTGTGTGTGTGTGTGTGTGTAGGCTGCAGCACAAGGTCTCCTCCCTCCAGCAGCAGTTAGCAGAGAGCCGGTCACTGCTGCGCTCCCTACAGAGTGAACTGCAGCTGTACGAGCGAGTGTGTGGCGTCAGGACAAGCAGCGCTGCAGGTCAGATCCACAACAGCTGGAAAACACACACACACACACACACACATATATTGGCGGAAAACTAAAAATCCTGCACATCTCTTAACATACCAAACTCTTCTGTCCTCTTTCTCAGCTGAGGTTACTTCTGCAAAGCAGACGTATTACCGTCTGAAAATCAACAATGCCACTAATCCTCGCCTACTTTTTAAAACATTTTCCTCCCTCCTCTATCCTCCTCCTCCACCCGCATCCTCCACACTTACTACTGATGACTTTGCTACATTCTTCTGCACCAAAACTGCAAAAATCAGTGCTCAATTTGCTGCACCTACAACAAACACGCAAGATACAACACCAACACCACACACACTCACCTCTTTTTCTCAGCTCTCTGAGTCTGAGGTGTCCAAACTTGTGCTATCTAGCCATGCAACCACCTGTCCACTCGATCCCATTCCCTCTCATCTCTTGCAAGCCATCTCTCCTGCAGTCATACCAACACTGACTCACATAATTAACACATCTCTTGACTCTGGTTTATTCCCCACTACATTTAAGCAGGCTAGGGTAACCCCACTGCTAAAGAAACCCAACCTGGACCATACGCTACTTGAAAACTACAGACCAGTATCCCTGCTTCCATTCATGGCCAAGATTCTGGAGAAAGTAGTGTTCAATCAAGTCCTGGACTTTCTTACTCAAAACAATCTCATGGACAACAAGCAATCCGGCTTTAAGAAAGGCCACTCAACTGAGACTGCCCTGCTCTCGGTCGTGGAGGATCTCAGACTGGCTAAAGCAGACTCTAAATCATCAGTCCTCATTTTGCTGGACTTGTCAGCTGCTTTTGACACTGTCAACCACCAGATCCTGCTATCTACGCTTGAGTCACTGGGCGTTGCGGGCACTGTTATACAATGGTTCAGATCTTACCTCTCTGACAGGTCATTCAGGGTGTCTTGGAGGGGAGAGGTGTCCAACCTACAGCATCTAAACACTGGGGTACCTCAAGGCTCTGTTCTTGGGCCACTTCTCTTCTCCATCTACACATCATCTCTAGGACCAGTCATCCAGAGACATGGATTCTCCTACCACTGCTATGCTGATGACACCCAGCTATACCTCTCTTTTCATCCTGATGATCCCTCGGTTCCAGCTCGTATCTCAGCCTGCCTGTTGGATATTTCACACTGGATGAAAGATCATCACCTTCAGCTGAACCTCGCAAAAACGGAAATGCTTGTAGTTTCTGCCAACCCGACTCTACACCATAACTTTTCAATCCAGATGGATGGGGCAACCATTACTGCATCCAAAATGGTGAAAAGCCTTGGAGTAACGATTGATGACCAACTAAACTTCTCTGACCACATTTCTAGAACTGCTCGATCGTGCAGATTTGCACTCTATAACATCAGAAAGATCCGACCCTTCTTATCTGAACATGCAGCTCAACTCCTTGTTCAAGCTCTTGTTCTCTCCAAACTGGATTACTGCAACTCTCTACTAGCTGGGCTTCCAGCTAACTCTATCAAGCCTCTTTCACTGCTCCAGAACGCAGCAGCACGAAGTGTCTTNCATGAACCTAAACGAGCACATGTCACTCCGCTGNCTAGTCCGTTTGCACTGGCTGCCAGTTGCTGCTCGCATCAAATTCAAAGCTCTGATGTTTGCCTACAAAGTGACTTCTGGCTTTGCTCCTTCTTATCTGCACTCACTTCTGCAGATCTATGTGCCCTCCAGAAACTTGCGTTCTGTGAATGAACGTCGCCTCGTGGTTCCATCCCAAAGAGGGAAAAAATCACTTTCGCGAACGCTCACGCTCAATCTGCCCAGTTGGTGGAATGAACTCCCTAACTGCATCAGAACAGCAGAGTCACTCGCTATTTTCAAGAAACGACTAAAAACTCAACTATTTAGTCTCCACTTCACTTCCTAAGCTGCAATTGCCTCTTTGAATATCACACTAATTGTACAAAAAAAAAAAAAAAAAAAAAAAAAAACTACTAACACTTCCCTTCTTAGACTTTACAGACCTGAAACTTGCCTTTAGTACTTATTCATTGTTGCTCTTAGTTGTGTTAATTGCTTCCTTGTCCTCATTTGTAAGTCGCTTTGGATAAAAGCGTCTGCTAAATGACTAAATGTAAATGTAAATGTAAATATATATTTATATATTCATACAACAGTTCTGTCTGGATCTTGAATCTGATTGGCTGATAGCCGTGATATATTTAAGTAATATCAGCATGCGTACCGCCTCTTTACTCTTTGTGTATTACTCCGCCCACACACAGCCAGCAACATCAGACACTGCAGTTTGACAAATATTCCTGCTGTTACACAACAAAATGTACTTTGAGGCTTGTTTAGTGGAGAATGTCGTTGTTTAGATTGCAACTATGCAGTTTATTTGCAAGAATAGTGCCTACTTTAAAATATTTACGATTTCTGAGAGAGCTCAACGGCGACAGTTGACGTTTTCTGTCCACAAGATGGCGACAGAACCGCATAATAAGCCCTTACACTTAGAAGATATAACAGTCTGATTTCTAACAACAGTGGATCAAATCATTATTAAAGTGGTAAGCACACCTGCCAACACCTCTGTTCTTCATGGGAGTATCCCGTATTTCAGACCAGCCTCCCGCAAACATCCCGATTTTATTTCTTCCTTAAAACTCCCGTTAGTTCACCCACCCCCCTCTTTGGTACAGTCTGCAAACTAAACACCCCCGGGTTGCCAACTTTGGTACAGTACTCGATCAAAGCGGCCGCCCAAAACCCGCTAACGCACGCCCCCCACCAGTGCTGATATACAGCAATATAGCACTGCTACTCGTGTGATATTGCTCATATAAACACACACACAGAGAACAAGCTCATTAAACACATGTCACATTGATGCATTACTCTCTCCGTGTGTGTGTGTGTGTGTGTGTGTGCTTCAGGGCTGGTGTGTGAGCTGCAGGGCCCATCGGGGGACTGGTCTGAGCTGCTGCTGGAGGTTCGGGCTCTAAGGGCTCAGCTGGAGAACTCTGCTCTGCGCACACACATGCAGAAACAGCTGGAGCAGTGCAGCGAGCCGCGTCCGTCGCCCACCATCCCTGCCAGCCCACTGTACCGGCGCCAGCTGCTGCACGGTACTGTACTGCAGCCCTGTGTGTGCCTGTGTGTGTGTGTGTGTGTGTGTGTCTGCGCACGCTAACCCTCTACTTTGCTCCACAGACCCGTCTCCTTCTCCTCCTGTCAGAGATGTGGGTCCGTTTCCCAGCGGGCCGCTGTACTCACCGTACTCCGAGATGGAGGAGAGCGTGCTGAACACTCACGGTGTGTGTGTGTGAGAGAGTCGGACTGGATTTTGTCCTGCACAAGTGTTCTAGCCCTGTCAGCAGCAGCAGGTGAAGCGTGACCCGTCTGTGGTGCAGCTCAGGCTGCAGTTGTGGGTCAGCTGTTGATGTGCTGTTATCCGCTGCACACCGCATGAGCATCACCATTCATTCATTCATTTTCTTTTCGCCTTAGTCCCTTTATTAATCAGGGTCACCACAGCGGAATGAACCGCCAACCTATCCAGCATTTGTTTTACACAGCGGATGCCCTTCCAGCTGCAACCCATCACTGGGAACCATCCATACACACTCATTCACATGTTGATCAGTTCCCCTATAGCGCATGTGTTTGGACTGTGAGGGAAACCGGAGCACCGGGAGGAAACCCACACCTTCACGGGGAGAACATGCAAACTCCACACAGATACTCCAACTGACCCAGCCGATGTCTGATAATCAGCATTAGCGTAGCGCAGGACAGTATCACCCTCCGCCCTCATCACGCTTGCGTCAGTATATTAGCGCTGACGTTCAGATATGCCGATGAGCTCTTCAACACACTCAGGCAACAGTAGACCAATCCCAAGCAGAGTAGGTGCATCTGGCCAATCAGAGCAGAGTCTGTCAGTCTGACCAGTCAGAGAGGAGCAGGCCTTCTGGAAGGCGGAGTTTAGGGAGACCAGAAACCAATAGGAGCAGAGAAACAGAATTAAGCTGCGCTCACACTAGAGTTTGTGTGTGTGATATTCTGTGGTGCGGCGCTGTGAAAGGGGCGGGATTAAACAAGATTATTAGACATTAATAAAGCGAGCGATTGCTCCATGTGTTACATTTCTGTCCAGAGAGGTCATGTTTTGATCCTCGATTGGTCTCACGCAGTCAAGTGATGCGATTTCACAGGTCACCTGTGAAACTGAACGCATGACCCTGTGTTTCCGGTCTGACGCATTCACGAGTGTATGAATGGAAGTCTATGGGGGAAAAGCCCAGTGTAGAGAGTGCAGAGCAGCTGGGACTAAAGCTCTGTTCAGCTCTCGGTGATCATCTGCAGCTCGAGAGTTTCACAGGTTAACACGTGTTCAGATCAGTGTGTGTGTGTGTGTGTGTGTGTGTGTGTGTGTGTGTGTGTGTGTGTAATGAAGACAGTACAATCACTGTAATTCAGGATCAAATCAGCAGCTGAAGAGGAGTATCATCTGCAACTAATGATTATTTTAATAATTGATTAATCTGTCCATTTTTATTTATTTTTGATAAATCGGATAAAAAAGAGAAGAAAAACACAAATTTCCTCCCCTTTATTCAAAAACAGAACTAAACTCTTTGGAAACTGCACACACATCATGTCCTTGAACATCCCTGAGCTGTTAAAATCATCATAATAATAATTATAATAATAAAAACTAACAGTAGTGTCGTCCTGTTCTGAGTCCAAATATCAACACTAATCTTCAATCGACACACACTGGACAGATGAAGCAGCGTGAGGAATGTTATGATCAAGATGAAGTGATTGTTTGCTTAAAACAGGAGAAATCATCTTAATGAGCGATAATCTCAAGCATCACGTCATTTCCTCAGCCATTTCCCTG